AGAGGCACAGAGGATCGCCCCGGGGGGCCACAACCAGCAGCCGGCAGAGTCCCGGGAGATATCAGCGGCAAGCCCACAGGCCCGCCCGCAGCCTCCCACCCCCTAGCCGGCCGAGCCCGGGACCCAGCAACCCGGGACCCAGGGGCGACCACCCCCGCCGGGGACCCAGCAGAGCCCAGGGACCCAGACCCCACCAGGCAGCCACCGGGATCTATCAGGCAGATGCCAAAATCTTAAACCCCAAGACCCGGTTGCCACGAACACTCAGGCAGACCACGGCACAACCCGTCACACCAGGTGTGGCAGGGGAGGGGGGACAAAGATCTATATCAAGAGAAGTTCCAGGAGAGGGGAGGAGTCAAAGGCCCCACCTGACATATACAGTCATACACAAACACAGTCACACACTCCCTCCCTCATGCTCACACATGCACATACAACCCAAGACTTACAAAAATGCACGCCGGACACCCACTCATGCTCCCCATACACACCCTATTCACTCTGATCCCAGTACTGCTGCACACTGGGTACAACCATCACCTGTAACCAGAGTTTGACCCTTTCTGCTGGGGTGCTGATGAGCAGGCTCCCCTGCCCAACGCTGAGCACAGCAACCCACCACCCCAGACCCCAACCAGACGGCCAGATCCCCCTCCTAGCCTCCAGCCCCAGGAAGCCTAGCAACAACAGAGGTGGCAAAGACCCATAGTCTCCCTCCGCCTGCTCCAATATAGTGTTGTGTAATCATGAGGTGTATTCCATGACTGTGGTGAGTGGGCAGTGCGGGCATCATCCGGCCTATGCCCACTGATTCCACCGCAGCACCCCACTCACACCTTCAGCCATCAGTGTCTAAGTGCGGTTTAAAATTGGAAGTGGGCAATGGCCCCCGGGAGGAGGCTGAAATATCCCCCTGCCAAATGCCGTTGAATGTGCTCACTCCCAAGGCCCTAAGTGTGTGTTTGTGTGGAATGTTGTCAGTGGAAGTGTATAAGGTGCAAATAAAATTGGGGGGCAGGTTGCCACAGGAATGCGGAAATGGGGCCAACCCGCACTCCCTGACTTGCCCACCCCCCAAGGTCCTATGTGTATGTTTGTGTGATGATGTGAGGGAGCAGGAGGAGAGAAATATGCGGGGATGGGGAGGAATGGCTGGTTGGGCTTAGCCCTCCAGGGAGCCAGCTCCCCTACTGGCCCCAATAGGCACCTCTGTTGTCAAACTGCCACCCAGGGCATGGAGACCCCAGCCCATCCTGCCAGGGCCCAAAGCAGCAGCATTACAGAGCCTCACGGAGTCCGAGGGCACCAACCCAGCCCCACCCCAGCAGAATATCTATGCCCGTCCCTGCATTTGAACAACTTCCAGAATATATAAGACATGGGACATCCAGGTAAGGTTGGGTCCTCCCCCTCCTGGACCTCCCCCTCCCCTGTGATGGAACGGCAGAGGAGCCAAGGTCTACCTGAGGCCCCCGAACCCGGGCCAGGCACTGCTGGGTGTCCCTGCCTTCTTCCCGGCAGCATACATGTCAGGACCCGAAATATACCTCGTTAGCTGTGTGCTGCCGAAAGGAATTAACTAATTTTCTTCTTTTCCGCTTCTTCCGGCTCATCTACCGACCAAAGTCCAAGCTTATCTGTCGTTAATACCGAAGCGAAACTCGTAACCGTTTCCTCCAGCTGTTCCTTCAACTGACAACTGACACTTCTCACAAGCAAGTCTCAGTACAGCTTGCAACTGATTACCGTTGGCTCATCTATTCATCCGGGTAGCTGATAGCACCCTCTAGAGGTGGCATGTTAGACTACACATAATAGAACTTCAACAGCGAACTATATGGAATATATGCTGCAGTTACAAGGTTAATAGCTCGTTTAGAGAACCTTTTCATGATATGGTAATTTTTTGAGATAGGAATTTTGGGTTTTCATGAGCTGTATGCCAAAATCATCAATATTAGAAACAATAAAAGGCTTGAACTACTTCAGTTGTGTGTAATGAATCTAATATATATGAAAGTCTAATGTTATCAGTACATTACAGACAATAATGAACTTTATCACAATATGCTAATTTTTTGAGAAGGACCTGTATATAACCGGTTAATACTTGTTGATGCCCACAGCTCACATGTATTAAGCAACTGCTGCCTGATGCTGTGGTCCTTGCTGTTGGTAAAAAGTAGAGGTTGACCAATATTGTTTTTTCTATTGCTGATATGATGCAGGCAGATATGTAGAGGTCATGGTCAGCTGAAGGCCGATATCTAGACGTTTTCCACCATATCTGCATGTTAAAGTGTCACTAATAACATCAGTGAATGAAAACGTTTCTGAAGCTGAATCCGTTTTTCAACACTGCATTTAACCAACTGTTGGTGTTACACACTAAACAGTTACACTAAATTAACTTTATTTAGGTGTCTGACTTTAACACTGAACAGTGCATTTGACATTTTAGCATGAGTATTGGGAAATTTCTAGATATGGGCCCATAAAAATTGGCAGTACGTATCGGCCATCGGCGGATCATGTCTTCCACATATCAGTATCGGCAATAGAAAAGCCAATATTGGTTAACCTCTAGTCTGGATGTTCCTAAAGGGGAAAAATAAATATAAAGGTCCTTCTCAAAAATTAGCATATTGTGATAATGTTCATTATTTTCTGTAATGTACTGATAAACATTAGACTTTCATATATATTAGATTTATTAGACACAACTGAAGTAGTTCAAGCCTTTTATTGTTTCTAATATTGATGATTTTGGCATACAGCTCATGAAAACCCAAAATTCCCATCTCAAAAACTTAGCATATCATGAAAAGGTTCTCTAAACGAACTATTAACCTAATCATCTGAATCAACTAATTAACTCTAAACACCTGCAAAAGATTCCTGAGGCTTTTAAAAACTCCCAGCCTGGTTCATTACTCTAAACCCCAATCATGGGTAAGACTGCCGACCTGACTGCTGTCCAGAAGGCCATCATTGACACCCTCAAGCAAGAGGGTAAGACACAGAAAGAAATGTTTGAATGAATAGGCTGTTCCCAGAGTGCTGTATCAAGGCACCTCAGTGGGAAGTCTGTGGGAAGGAAAAAGTGTGGCAGAAAACGCTGCACAACGAGAAGAGGCGACCGGACCCTGAGGAAGATTGTGGAGAAGGACCAATTCCAGACCTTGGGGGACCTGCAGAAGCAGTGGACTGAGTCTGGAGTAGAAACATCCAGAGCCACCATGTACAGGCGTGTGCAGGAAATGGCTACAGGTGCCACATTCCCCAGGTCAAGCCACTTTTGAACCAGAAACAGCGGCAGAAGCGCCTGACCTGGGCTACAGAGAAGCAGCACTGGACTGTTGCTCAGTGGTCCAAAGTACTTTTTCGGATGAAAGCAAATTTTGCATGTCATTCGGAAATCAAGGTGCCAGAGTCTGGAGGAAGACTGGGCAGAGGGAAATGCCAAAATGCCTGAAGTCCAGTGTCAAGTCCCCACAGTCAGTGATTGTCTGGGGTGCCATGTCAGCTGCTGGTGTTGGTCCACTGTGTTTTATCAAGGGCAGGGTCAATGCAGCTAGCTATCAGGAGATTTTGGAGCACTTCATGCTTCCATCTGCTGAAAAGCTTTATGGAGATTTTTCAGCACGACCTGGCACCTGCTCACAGTGCCAAAACCACTGGTAAATGGTTTTACTGACCATGGTATTACTGTGATCAGTTGGCCTGCCAACTCTCCTGACCTGAACCCCACAGAGAATCTGTGGGATATTGTGAAGAGAAAGTTGAGACGCAAGACCCAACACTCTGGATGAGCTTAAGGCTGCTAGCGAAGCATCCTGGGCCTCCATAACACCTCAGCAGTGCCACAGGCTGATTGTCTCCATGCCGCATTGAAGCAGTCATTTCTGCAAAAGGATTCCCGACCAAGTATTGAGTGCATAACTGAACATAATTATTTGAAGGTTGACATTTTTTGTGTTAAAAACACTTTTCTTTTATTGGTCGGATGAAAAATGCTACTTTTTTGAGATGGGAATTTTGGGTTTTCATGAGCTGTATTCAAAAATCATCAATATTAGAAACAATAAAAGGCTTGAACTACTTCAGTTGTGTGTAATGAATCTAATATATATGAAAGTCTAATGTTTATCAGTACATTACAGAAAATAATGAACTTTATCACAATATGCTAATTTTTTGAGAAGGACCTGTATATAACCGGTTAATACTTGTTGATGCCCACAGCTCACATGTATTAAGCAGCTGCTGCCTGATGCTGTGGTCCTTGCTGTTGGTAAAAAGTAGAGGTTGACCAATATTGTTTTTTCTATTGCTGATATGATGCATGCAGATATGTAGAGGTCATGGTCAGCTGAAGGCCGATATCTAGACATTTTCCACCATATCTGCATGTTAAAGTGTCACTAATAACATCAGTGAATGAAAACGTTTCTGAAGCTGAATCCGTTTTTCAACACTGCATTTAACCAACTGTTGGTGTTAAAATCAGACATCTAACTAAACGTAATCAAACAATTAAATATTCATAATGGTAAATAAAAGGAAACTAGGTTGAAAACGTTTTAGAGAATTTATTATGCAGATGTCATACATATACATTTAAATTGTGCAGCATCAGCGGGTTGCCCGGGGATGTGCCTGACTTTAAATCAGCTTTACTATGGAGGTGTACCAGTCGATGCCGATATATAAAAAATTGTAAATATTGCCCCAATATATCAGATGACCAATATATTGGTCTACCCCTTATTATTAACAAGCCATGTTTTACTTTCTGCTTACTGACGTTTGTGACGTAAACACTTTGTTTGCCACCAGGGGTCAGCAGAGGTAAACTATTTAAGTACAGAGTAACGTTGTTCAGTCAGAAACAAACATTTGATCATCTCTTTGTACTGATTTCATTTTCTAACTTTATGAAATGAGTTCTGCATTTTACCTCATGAGGCTTGTTTCTCTCATGCTGACTCCTGCAGAGATCGGTGATCTTCAGGACCTGGAGACACTTGACGTATCCATGAACCAGCTGATGTCTCTACCAGACAGCCTGCACCGCTGTGTCTCGCTGCAGAACCTGACAGTGGACCACAACCTGCTGAGCCATGTTCCTCGACAACTCTGCTGGCTACACTGCCTCAACCAGCTCTCCATGGCTGCCAACCGACTAACCTTCCTCCCACTTGGTGAGTTTTCCTTTATTTGTGGCTTTTTGTTGATTTGATATACAAATTTTGTGTTTTAGATCTCGGCAGATCCAGAGAGCTACAGTTTGTGTTTGTGGACAACAACACGGACCTAAAAGGTCTCCCGTCCTACATGTACAACAAGGTCATCGGCTGCAGCGGGTAACACACCTGACTCACTTCTCCTGACTTCTCATGCTGCTGTCACAAAGGTGTGTGTGTGTGTGTGTGTGTGTGTGTGTGTGTGTGTGTGTGTGTGTGTGTGTGTGTGTGTGTGTGTGTGTGTGTGTGTGTGTGTGTGTGTGTGTGTACAGGTGTGGTGTATCCTACCAAGGGCTGGGGGGTGAGATGGGTGAGGTGCTGCGTGATGCTCTGATTGGGCTTCCAGCTGAGGTGAAGGTGATTGGATCAGAGAAGGATAACGTGGTTCCTCTGGAGGAGCTGGCCATGAGGACTCTGCACCACATCCACCAGCAGCACCCAGCAGGTGAGCACATTTACACCAGTTCTACATTAAATGACGACAGAGGTGTGTTTGTAGTTTCTTGTGAGAAAACCACATCTCCCTGTTTGCTGTTTGAATCCTGACCTGTTTTGTCTCCAGGCCTGAACCTGCTGCCCCCCATCAGCCTCCCAAAGGCCCTGCTGGACCTGCTGCAGTTCCCTCTGGGTCACTGTCACCGGTGCAGCCAGGCCATGTTCACCATCACATACCCGAAGTTTTTCCCACTCCGTGACACGGCCCTGGCAGGAGTGCACCGCAGGTCAGAACACGGATTTGTCCCTGTAGCAACAGACATGTTTGGTTCTGACATCTTTGTTCCTTCTGCAGAACCACAGTGAGTTTTGTGGCCTATTGCTGCTCCAGTCACTGCCACAGGACCTTTGACCTGCAGGGGTGATGCAACCCCCCCAAAAAAAGTTCATCTTCAGTATCGAGGGGGACAGATAATGTCCTGAGGGCTGTCAGCTGGTGAAGCTAATCACACAGGAACTCTGCTACCTGCCATTGCAGATGCTGGACGATGGGACTGCTGCTCCTTGAGTTCATATTCCCTCTCTCTGGACATAAAACACTTGTGGTCTAGCTGATCAGCTTGGGTTGTTTGGGTTCAGGATGATCATCATCAGTGTTGGACCTGAGGACCACTCACAGGAAAGAACTTTGACAAGCAAAGACTTTGATTCTTGGGAATTCATGGAGTCATTTTGTAATAATGCTAATTACTGAAGAATGTTTAAAGGTTTCTTATTTAAAAGTGTGTTAAATGTGTTATTTATAAATAATACAATTACTAGAAGCTAGTTGTCATTACTGGCCTTAATGTGCTTACTTAATGACACTCTGTGTGATTAAGTGAGCAATGATGATGTTCAAGGCATCATTGTGTGTGTGTGTGTATTTTTATATATGTATTTATATATATATATGTATGTATATGTATATATATGTATATGTGTATATATATATATGTATACATATATATTTACGTGTATATAAATATATATATATACGTTTATATATATATATATACGTATATATACATATACGTATATATATATATATATATATATATATATATATATATATATATATATATATATATATATATAAGGAACGTGTACATGTACAGGAATATCCTGGACAAGACCCTTCTCCAGAGTACTCAGGACCCCAGACGACTGAAGGTTTACCTTCCAACATGACAATGACCCTATAGGCTCACCGCTAAAATAATGATGGAGTAGCTTCAGGGCAACTCTGTGACTGTTCTTGAATGTCCCAGCCAGAGGCCTGACCCAAGTGAGCATCTCTGGAGAAACCTAAAAATGTCTGTTCACCATCCAACCTGACAGAACAGGAGAGGATCTGCAAATCAAGGTGTAAGAAAGAAGCAAACACACAGCGCTTAATCCAAATGAGTTCCGGTGCTCAACAGCTGGTACTTGCAATTTAAGAATAAAAAGGAAGGCTGGAGCACGCACCTATTAAATACTTTATTTGACCCAAGGGCTCCGGCCTTCCTCCATATTCTTGAGGTGTAAGAAACTTGTTGCATCAAGAAGACTCAGAGTTCATACATCTATAAAGTTCAGGACAAGCTAGGACATCATCATCATCAAAGAAACAACTGAATCACACTCAAAAAGCAAATGTGGTTCTTGGGTAGTCGGGGTGTTGATTTAAGACTCTGAGGAACCAATTTAAGCTGCTAAATAATTACATGTTACTGGAATAGAAATAGAACTAGAAAATTCATGAAGAGGTTTAAAAAAGGGACCTGCCACCTGGCCAAAGATCGTGTTTACACACATGTAAAAATGCCACACACTCAAAGGTTCAAAGGGATAGATCAATCTGCACAAAAATGAGACATCTTTTGAAGTCTTTTGCTAATTTTTTCACCATGGTAAATCAGATCCCTTATAAAAATAACAGCACACTTCCCACGGCCGAGCCGCTCGTTATGTATAATATTTGCGGGTGCACGCTGCCGTTCGAGCCGCTTTACATCCGCGGAAGAATATTAGTAAGTAAGTAATTACATTTTATTTATTTAGCACTCATCACAGACACAGAATCACAAAGTGCTTCACGTAGATCAACAACAAAACAAATCAATGCAAAATATGGATCTTGGACGTTAATCTGTGGGAGGGGTAGGAAACCGACTGCTGTGTGGTTGTTTTTAATATTGTAAAGCGAGCTGCACTTGTATGAAAAGCGCGTCATAAATAAAATATTTGATTTGTTGAAGTCATAAAATCACAATGATCTTAACAGAAATAAATTTAAATCATAAAAACAAAGTCATAAAATTACAAATGATCATAAAACAAATGAAAAATATTACAAATTTGAGTTAAAAAATAGCAAAACAAAAGATTTTGGTAAAAACCAGCTTTAAATAAAAGGGTCTTCAGCTGTTTTTTAATGGTTACCAGACTGTCAGTACTACACAAGGTTACAGGAAGTTCATTCCGAAGCCAGGGTGCAACAACCTGGAAGGAGCGATCTCCTTGACTTTTAAATCTGGTCTTTGGAACTTCTTGGGTCGGATCAGAAGAAACAAAAAATGATATAATCCTCGGGTGGAGAGCAAAGCAGCGTCAGCGTCGTCGTTTTTTTTTTTTTTTTTTTTTTGCGTCAGCGTCGTCGTTGCCCTTTTAGAGCTTTGCTTTATGACGTCATCTCCATCATCACGTGATCATAAGATCATAAGCGGATTCTACAGGCATTCAGTTCTCAGTGACGCACCGTCAGAGACAGTCGTGTTTGCTCGTTGTTCGATAGTGTTTCAACTTATCGTCTACGTGTTATTTAGCATTATGGGAGACTCTTTTGCACACAAGAGTTACTCTTCAGCTCTGGTTAAAGATTCAGAGACTTATATTAGCATGGAACAACCGCATTTGTCAGAGAATCGTGGTTTAGTTTCAGCAACCAAACGAAAAGCCGTTTCAGACCCTGGACCTCCCACAAGAAGGATTAAGGTTTCTGATGAAGGCAAACTCTCTGCAAACAACCAGAACATTACACAAATTGACAAATTCACAAAGAAATCCATTTCCTTTGATGTTGAGGGATCTGAAAATCCAGACAAGGAATGCAGATATTTGGTTCCTGAGAAAGGATCGTCTTCTGCCAAAAGGAAAGCTGTTTTTCATCACGAACCTCCCACAAAACGGTCTAGGGTTTCAGGTGAAGGCAGCGTCTCCAGACATAACCTGGATGAGACATCCAGAGTCTCAAAGAGGTCACTCTCACCAGATGGTGAGGGATCTGGAAGTCCAGCAAAGAGAATCAGACTGTCTGATTCTGAGAGTCCCTCGCCTTCAGCCAAAGATCAGTTTGAGGCAAAATACGAGCAAAAAGATCAGCTTGGAAAGGGAGGCTTTGGATCTGTTTATGGTGGCTACCGCAGGGCAGACAATTTACCTGTGGCAATCAAACATATACCAAAGAAAAATGTAGTCTGGACAGATACGGACGAGAACGGCCAGCAGCTCAGCATTGAGGTAGCCGCCATGCTAAAACTCCGGACAGAATCAGCTGATTCGGTGGGGAAGTCCGCTCCAATTTCCCTCCTGGACTGGTACGATTTCAACCAGGAACAAATTCTAGTGTTGGAGAGACCAGTGCCTGCAGTGGACCTCTCACAGTTTATTAAAAATAACAAAGGGCCCCTACAGGAGAATCAGGCTAAAACAATTATTAAACAGCTGGTTGATGCCGTCAAACATCTGGAGGACACCAACATCTTCCACAGAGACATCAAACCACGAAATATTCTGATTGAAACAGGATCAGAAATCCCGCGACTGCGACTGATTGACTTTGGAGTGAGTTGTTTCACCAACACAGAATATGAAAACGGCCGGTTCTACGGCACAGCGAAACACGTCCCTCCTGAGTTTATTTCAGAACGCATTTATAAGGCAGGACCAGCAACCGTGTGGCAGGTGGGAGTTGTTCTCTATGAAATGCTCCACGAAAGTTTGTTTGACTCAAAAAAGTTTTTCAGTAACAAACTCAGAATCAGGACGGACCTCTCTCCATACTGTACGAACTTCCTAAAGAGCTGTTTCATGAGAAGCCCACAGTGGCGTCCCACCTTAAAGCAGCTCCAGCGTGACCCTTGGCTTTGGTTAAACAGAAACTAAAGTCTTCAAAGCTCTGGACCCAATTCAACCGGCACCAAGCTAGATCCCTCCTAACTCGGACACCTCTCAACCCCTAACAGAGTCACCTATCATCTCCTACATTTCCCTCAACCCACTGCAGGACTGAGCCCAAAAAAAGGCCCTGGCAGTGCACCATAACTGTTTATATGATAGGATATGCAAAGGCACACAACACACCAGAGAATCAGCATGTTGTGTTAGTAACCAGAAAGAGGAAAATAAACAGCTGGATCAAGAAAAGTCTGTCAAACCAGACCCAGAGAAGAAAGTTGAGATGATTTCTGCACCTCTCCCTCTGGGAGCTCCAGTTCACCCCCACCCAGGAATATTCTAGTCCAACTTATCGTTTACGACTTATTTAGCATTATGGGAGACTCTTTTGCACACAAGAGTTACTCTCCAGCTCTGGTTAAAGATTCAGAGACTTATATTAGCATGGAACAACCGCAAAATCACAAGTGATCATAAAACCGATGGAAAATGATTAAAAGTTTGAGTTAAAAAATAGAAAAACAAAAGATTTAGGTAAAAACAGCTTTAAATAAAAGGGTCTTCAGCTGTTTTTTAATGGTTACCAGACTGTCAGTACTACATAAGGTTAAAGGAAGTTCATTCCGAAGCCAGGGTGCAACAACCTGGAAGGAGCGATCACCTTGACTTTTAAATCTGGTCTTTGGAACTTCTTGGGTCGGATCAGAAGAAACAAAAAAACAGTCAATCAATCAATCAATCAAAGCTTTATTTATAAAGCGCCTTCCGCAACCCTGTCAGGAAGCCCAAAGCGCTGAACATGGTACAGTAGAAGAAAAAAAAGATATAATCCTCGGGTGGAGAACACTAAGGGCCTTGCCAAAAAGCAGCATCAGCCTCGTCTTTGCCCTTTCCCTTGACTCTGCCCTTTTAGAACTTTGCTTTATGACATCATCATGTTCATCATCATCATCTCCATCATCATCTCCGTCATCAGGTGATCATGGTATATATCTAAGCGGATTCTACAGGCATTCAGTTCTCAGTGACGCACCGTCAGAGACAGTCGTGTTTGCTCGTTGTTCAATAGTGTTTCAACTTATCGTCTACGTGTTATTTAGCATTATGGGAGACTCTTTTGCACACAAGAGTTACTCTCCAGCTCTGGTTAAAGATTCAGAGACTTATATTAGCATGGAACAACCACATTTGTCAGAGAATCGTGGTTTAGTTTCAGCAACCAATCAGAAAGCCGTTTCAGACCCTGGACCACCCACAAGAAGGATTAAGGTTTCTGATGAAGGCGGACTCTCTGCAAACAACCCAAACAATGTATAAATAGACAACTTCTCAAAGAGAATCATTTCGTTTGATGGTGAGGGATCTGAAACTCCAGAAAAGGAATGCTGATTTTGGGTTCCTGAGAATGGATCGTCTTCTGCCAAAAGGAAAGCTGTTTTTCATCACGATCCTCCCACAAAACGGTCTAGGGTTTCAGGTGTAGAAAGCAGGTATAACATGTTTAAGATAGAAAACTGAAACATCATAACTGCTGATTGTTTCTTTCAGATTAACTTAGCGTTTGTGTTTACGACGTACCCTCGTGATTGGTCGAGTTTGGACCGAGCCAACGTGAGGGGGAGGT